CTTTTTGGAAAATGGATGAAGTGGACAGAAGGTGTCTCAATTGCAATTATGGTGTTTTGTTACCAAAAAGCCTAGGTTAAAGGGTCCCGATAGGGTCCCAATACAAATCCTGAACTGTTGTAAGTATAGTAACTGCTCCAAGCCATGTATTCAGCTTCAACGATCGGATTCGCGATGCCATGCTTGGGGGATCTCCATTTGGTCATCCTCTTCAACAAGGTTTCATTACAGGTTTGGCTTTGGAGGTAATCCTTATTTTCCAGTCTTAATTATATCCAGTTAACACTTCATTCGTCTAGTACTAAACAAAAGTTCCTTATGTTTTCTCTACATGAACAAGGATCTTCCACTAGAGTGAGAATCTGCTTATCGATTTGGAAAACGTTCGGTAGTTAATTCTAATAATATTTAAATCATGATTGCCAACTTCTTTTTGTCTTTTCTTCAGCCCAATGATTATGACAATGGGACCAAATCTGATGCAGAGCATTTGCTAGCTGTATCAAAGGATCACATTCAGGTACTCCTATACTATACTGTTTCTTTTAAATATTACATGTGGTTTTCTAGTCGTAAGTTAAGATACCAGCTCAGCCATTTGATTTTTAAGTAATTTATTAGATGATAAAAATGTGAAAATAGATTTATATTCTTGTTCCGATGGGGCAATACCTAATTAAAGCTAATGAATTCTAGTTTGACTAAAATACAGATCTCAATAGTAGTCAAGTTCTTTACTATTTGTATTCCTACTCTGGACTTAAAAAAATGATATTTCTGTTAATTTACCCCCGTATAGAAAAGTTCTTCAACATTTTAAAGCTTCTTTGTTATTTGTATCAGCTTCATCCAAAATCTTGTCTTATTTTACTTTTCTTTTTATCTTGCATGAAGTTTTTAATGCTCTTTGGTTGCATAAGACAGGTAGGTATGGCTGCTAACCTAAAGGACTTTGTTTTGACCAATTATGAGGGTCAAGAGGTAATGTTTACTGTGTCATTTCTTAAGATGCTTAGTGATTTTGTCAAGTTAGTATTTTTCTATTTCCATCTGTCCACACCAATATCCAGAAATACGTCGAAAAGATCCATGGTGTTTCTTATGTTCGTAAGTAGATGTATCCATTTTGAATAGTGAAAGAATGGAAATACGTGGGGAAGACAGGAATGCCTTTTTCTGTACTTATAGATAAAGTCTTCCTTCAAAATTAAAAGAGAGAGAAATAAAAAGTTGGTGACTTGATTGAAACAAAAAAATATTGACACCATTTGAAATATCGATAGCATTTTTGCCAAATCAGACGCCAACTCAACATTCTGTCCGCTTTAAAAGTCATGGAGGATTTTCCTGTTAATTTAACCATGCTGCAAACTACTATTCTTTTTGTCTCTGGTTTATTAGATTCTTGGCCAGAGAAAGACTAACAATATGACTATTTTAGTGAACTAAGTTCATTTTTAACCAAACAAAGCTGACTATGACAATACTATGAAATCTTGCTAGCTATTCAATTATGACCACCATTTCTCTTCCTTTTTTGGGTATCTAGTGGCACATTTTGAGAAGGAATTTAGGTTATTAACTGTAATTGTTCACTTCATTGAAATGTTGCATCTTAAAATTTTATATTACTAGGAATTGCTTCATAGATTAAACTATAATCAATTTCTGATGAAATAAACTGTTAAGGGATATATATCCCACATCGATAAATGATGTTGACATAGACCAGTTAATAAAGATTTTGGGTTACTCCTCTTAATAAGATTGACCTTTTAACATGGAACCCCAATTCTCAATATGGTATCAGAGCCCATTATGCTCGAACGAGCAATTCGATCCTGTTAAAACTCTAAAATGAGCACGTGATTTCAAGATTGGTCTGCTCAAATGAGCCACCATCTTGCGGGGGCATGATAAGGGATATATATCCTACATCGATAA